CCTTCAATCGGTCGGTTAGTGGTGCAGATAACCCCGCCATATTCGGGATAAAGCGGCGGACGTAGTTGACAAAACCCAGAAAACTTTGGAGTTCCTTGAGGTTGGTCGGCGGCTTCCATTCCTGTATGGTCTTGATTTTCCTGGGGTCGATTTTCACGCCTTCGGTAGAAACGACGTGGCCCAAAAACTCCAACTCCTGCTTAAGAAAGTCGCACTTACACTGACGGAAAGAATTGTCCACATGTTTGGCAATTTTTTGAATTTCCACCGTTAAAGGGCATTTGAACATTAAGCCTTAATTGGAGGCATTACCCACTATATGCAGGCCAATCTAGGGAGACATTAAAATGCTACACATTTGATGAAACTACTATCGTTAACAGTAAACAGCAAACATAACCAAACACGGTGCATGTGGACAATTATTTCCAGGCGGAAGCAGCAACTTGAAAAACCCTTAAACTAGTACCTGGTCCACCGCCCTTTAGCCCTAATCACTGCTTTCACCCTCCTGGGCATGCTGTCGATCAAATTGGAGCACACCTCTGATGGGATCTTCTCCCACTCCTCTTGTACACGCTCCCACAGGTCCACCATACCAGTGGGAGGTGTCTCATGCTTTCCCAGCTCCCTTTTAAGATGAGCCCACAGATGCTCAATGGGGTTCAGATCAGGACTTCCTGCCGGCCACTCCAGGACCCCATACTCCTGCTCCTGAAGCCACTGCTGCACCACACGGGACTTATGCTTGGGGGGGTTATCATGCTGGAAGATCACAGCCGAGGGGGTTAGCTTGTAAAAGTCGATGGTTTTTTTCAGCTCGTCTTGCAAAATGCTCAGATACAGCGGCCCGTCCATCCGACCATCGATTTTGCACATGAAACCCGCCCCCTCAAACGTCATACATCCCCAGATCATCAAGCCGCCGCCCCCGTGTTTGACGGTTTGCTTGATCTGGTGGTGTTGGAGAGTCGTACCTTCACGAACCCAGGCGTACGCGCGGCCGTCAGAGCCGAACCTACTAATCCTCGTCTCATCCGACCATATGACCCGTCGCCAATCATCTATGGTCCAATCCGCGTGGGCCCGTGCGAACGCCAGCCTATCGCGGATATTTTTCTTGGTGAGTCGCGGCTTCTTAGGCTGCTGAACTGCGATAAGGCCGCTGGATTTGAGCGCATTACGCACCGTCCTAGGATGCACCGTGATGCCGTGCTGGGATTCGACGATTTGGGCCGCATGCCTCGAGGTTTTCGCCTCGCCGCTAGTGATCGCCCGGACGATCCCACGACGAATTCTACTCGACAGTACGCGTGGACGACCAGCAGTGGGCATTGTAGGACGTACGTCCTCGGGACTAGTCTCTGAAATCGCCTTGAGCCCAACATCATGCACTGTACTTTTCCCAACGCCAACCTGTTTCGCGATTTGCCTCGTGCTGAACCCCCTACGCAACAGGGCCACGATCCGGGCGCGACGAGCCTCATCTATCGGTCTCATCTTGGCGTAGTCTACGCCTCGGGTATAAACTTTATTCTGACTACTCGACGATTGCGTTAGGAACTATGGAGAGAATGCTCTAGTCGAAAACGGATCTAGTCCGCTGCTTGGCCAAAACTGTCCGGATGCACTCACGCGACTGAAATCTTGGCCACGCTATTAGTGCGACCCATTCAGGTTGCAAACGTGTTACCCTATTGTAACTGGCACGCGTAACTTATTAGTCAGCAATGAACATTCAACGATACATCGGGTGAAAGCATTCAAATCATGTGTTGAACCTAAAATTGGACTTTATCCGGGCAATACTTTCCGTCGCTGTAGACCCTTTCATGATGAGGCGATTCTTGTGCAGCAGCGTGAAGACTGCGTGAAGATCCCTTAAGTGCTGCTCCCTGCTGCGGCTGTAGATTAGAATGTCGTCGAGGTAGATAATTACGCATTTATCCAGGAGTTCGCGAAAAACACCGTTCATGGTCATCTGGAACGTCGAGGGCGCGTTCGTGGGTCCAAACGGCATCACCAGGTACTCGTAACTACCGTAGCGGGTTCGGAACGCGGTCTTGTGGCAATCCTCGGCGGCGACGCGAATTTGGTGGTAACCTCCTCGCAGATCGATTTTCGAGAAGAACTGGGCTCCGCGAAGTTGGTCGAATTGGTCGTCGGCTCGCGGGATCGGGTAACGGGACTTGATGGTGCTGCGGTTGAGGGCGCGGTAGTCGATGCACATACGGAATCCGCCATCTTTTTTCGGTGTGAACAGTATGAGGGCGGCGTATGGGGATGTGCTGGGGCGGATAAAGTCAGGAGGTAATCCAGCTGCTGCTGTAATTCCTCGAGTTCCGGTTGGCTGAGCCGAAATTGTCGCTGTACTGTCGGTTGTGCCCCGGGTTCTAGCTCGATGCGATGGTCTTCGGGTCGGCTAGGCGGCAGTCCGGCGGGTAGGTCGTCTGGGAAAATCTCGGGGTATTTTCGGATGAGTTCCGCTAAATCCGGAGGAACGGCTTCACACAGCTTCGTGATATCTTCCGCTGTTATCGGTGACGTTACTTCGCGAAGATCGACGGCGTATGCTGCTGCTCCCGCTTTTATCGCGCGCTTGAAGGTGATCGCGTGGACTTGGGTACTTCGCATGCGGGGTCCCATCCATTTCGGTAACTTGTGATAGTGCCCATCGATCTTGATGCTGCAGCTGCCCGTCGTCCAGTCGATTCTCGGGTTGTACTATCGCAGCCAATCCCGTCCTAGCAGCACGTCGCACCTGTCGAGTCTAGTCGCCAGCAGCTACATCCGAAATTTTACGTGCTCGCCGCAGTGGAAACTGACGTGTTCCACCCGCTCCCGTATAGCCAGCGGTGTTCCATCCACCAGTCGTGCGTCGATTTCGGGTAGACACTTTAGTAAGGGGATACCCATTTTCTTAGCCCTGTCCAGCTGTATGAGACTGTGACTCGCGCCTCCATCCACGAATATTTTCAGCAACACCCCGTTGACTTTACCCTCCACCAACACAGGGTGATCAGCAGTTTCGTCCCCCTTATTCGTCCGGGTCCGGTCGATTGCCGCAATCGGGATCACGACCCGGTGGGGACTGTGTGGTTCGTGCGAGGAAGCCTGCCCGTCAGTAAGGGGCCCGGTACTTACTGACGCGACCCATTTCCCGGTCGCTCCTCCGGCTTCTTCCCCATAGAATTCTGTATGGCGATGAACTCTTGGCAGTTACGTTTGATGTGACCCGGTCGGCCACAGTGGTAGCATAGCCCCGTATTTCGCGGAGCAACTGCGTAAATATCCACTGCGTCCATCCCTTTTATCGTGGCGCGCTGGTACTGTTCTCGAGGGCGACCTCCGTCGTAGAAGTTCGTCCTCGGCTTCGTGAGCGAGTCAGCGGCTTCGGCGAGTTGGATGAAGTCTTGTAACCGCTTCGCAGGTCGTTGTAATTTTATTTGGTACTGTATTTCAGGCTTCAGCCCACCCATGTACCTGTCGACCTTCTCCAACTCGTGCATGTAGCCACATCGATCCACCAACGTCAAGAATGACGCGGTGTAGTCACACACAGATCCCAGCTGCTTCCACATGCGTACAGTCTCGCGCGCCTTGTCTGAGTCAGGGGCATGCTCAAACCGCTTGCGGAGCTCCGCGCACCACTTTGCCCATGTGCGAATGTGAGTTGCACCAAACAGTAAATCTGCCTCGTCTTCGTCGCCGAATTCTTCGGACCACTCATGCTGTCCTTCTGTGCGAGTTGCCGCTGAGTCGACGATGACCTTCCACCACTATAGGGCGGCCCCTTGCAGCAGTGTCAACGCGTGGCTGATCCGCTTCTGGTCATCTCGGATGCCCGCCGCGTTAAAGTAGATATTCATGGCGAATATCCACTGCCGCACCGTCACGCCTTTATTAGATGGGTCGAAAGGAGCGGGTTGCTGATATCTCACGCCGCCACTTGTCGAGCGCGGGGCTGTCGCCGCTAGCCGTGCCAGCTCCACTGGTGTCGGTTGCTGCTCATCCGCCTCGCTTCGTGCATCGTCGCCCGGCTCCTCTGAACGCCTTTCCTGCGCCTGGCGAAGTCGTTGGTTTTCGTCACGGAGGTTGTTGACGACGCTTGTCAAATTATTTAACTGCTCCATTAATGCTTGCAGGTCTACTGTTTCCCGGGCAGAGTTCGCAGCAGTCGAGGTTGTCTGTTCCTCAACCGTCGAGTCTACCGGGGCCATGGCGGTCAGGACGGGGCAGAAACTAGCGCACACGCTGTAGTTGTTGTCGTAAAAATATTTACGATCAAAGGCAACTGCTGTGCAGCCGTGTTAATCCCCTCTGACCAGCCTTAACTAACTAACGCGGGAAACGGAAGGTTCCGAGAAAGGTCGGGCTCTGATATCAGCTGTTATGATTTAGAAGATGTCAATGTACTATAATGAGAATACAACGTCCCTATTGCCATGAAAGCACAAGGTTATATAGGAGTGGACGTAGTAGGGCGATAACCTCGGGACGTGAGTAGGTTCGGCAATGTGGCGACGCTATCGGGCGCGACTCGAGAAAGGGTTGGGCCGAAAATGTAGGCCGAACGTGACGAGTCGAAGTGTTCGGGTGTACGCGGTAGCGTACGACTCAGTAAGGAATGGGAATTCCTTACACTCACTCAATACAGACCGGAAGCAGAATCGCCTCCCCCAAACATTCCATCCCCGATGTTTCTTCCCTACACTCTCCCCACGTATCCCCCGCTTCCCCTTCGCCCCTCCCCTCACCATCCCCTACCCTTCCCCAACCGCCCAGCCTCCCCCTCGCATTTCGTTTCTCGCGTGCCCTGTCCACTCCAGCAGAACCACCACCACCATGGCTGCCATTCACCGCCCCCCTGCCGCAGCTCAGAAATTCCCGTAAAATTTTTGCTCATGCCAACAGAACAATGGACTGCATTGCATTCCGTTTGCAGCAGGGTTCTTTCTTACCTGTGTGACTTCTAGTCGCCGTGGTTGCTGCTTGCAGCCTTGCACCCGTGCTCCCTACATCCCGTCCCGCCCCGCCACCTCCCCCCTCTGCAGCACGCCAGGCCTGTCAGACAAACTGACGTTACGGCAGCCCGACTGGCCCCGTTTCGGGAATGACTGGCAAAGTCGCACTGTCCGGGTACTGTATAAACGAAGCGCGGCAACAGAAAGGAAGTTCATCCTGTGGAGTGGAGACCACTCTCACACCACACAGCGAGCGAGCACACACCTACGAACAAATTCGCCTGGTTGAGTAGAGATTCTTGATTCGACCTCACCAGGAAGTTCGCATACTGTACCAGTCTTTTCAGGACAGATTTCGGATCTCTTTTTTAATTTATTTTGGCGATTCCGTAGTAGTTCTGCACAACGGAGATAGCCATTGCTAGGAACGGGTAGCTGAAAGGCATGAGGATAATTAGGGCTTGAAAACGTCGGATTGCCGACCAACGGCAGATTATGCTGAAGCCAGAGTTACCTCCAGATTCACCTCCCGCGGCATCAGCGCCAGGAACGTCGACGGGTGCGACGGGTGCGACGGGGGTGGAGGTGCTACCGCTCACCCTTGCGATAGCCTCACTTGTGGTCGTTGTAACTCTCGTCGTTTTTATCACTCTCGCCTTACGTCATCCAGCCCTTCTCTACGCGTTGACTCAGTTTGGTTGCCCTCACTATAACGCGAATCACTCCTCTCAAGAGCCTGCACGGAATGTGACTGTGTCGGTGCTGGTCCCTACCCCCTCGGGGCTGCACCCCGCGCGGCTCGCGACATTCCCCGTCAAACCGTATCGCCTCCCTCCTGCTGCGGGGAAATTCCACGTTGACCCAGACATTGAGGGGGTTACGGGAGAAAATACACTCGGAGATGCTACAGCAGCGGAAAGAAGTCTAGCGCTTGCAACCGACGCCTCTGAACCAGTGGAAACGCCAGGCGCGCGAGATATTCACGAGTTATTGGATTACGGGGGGCTTAAAGCGAGCAAAGAGTGCACAGTGTGTTTGTGTGACTTTAACGAGGGGGAGCTGGTTCGGTCTCTGCCGCCCTGCGCGCATCGGTTCCATGTCAGCTGCATCGACCACTGGCTCGCCGCCAGGACCACCTGCCCCGTGTGTCGCATAGACCTCGAGACGCAGACGCCAGACGCGACTATACAAAGCGTGACAGTAAAAGAGGTGGAGGGGAGCGAAGCAGTCTGATCAAGTTGGGTTCGGCAGCGAAGCTTACTTTGCTCCCTCCCAGCCCAGGGGGGAGAGGAATGACAGAAACGAAGCAGATATCGGTTCTATTTTTGTGTCAGATTCGAAATCTGGGGGGTTGGTTTCGATAACTTCGTTGATCAGGCCACGGAACTGACTGCGGGAGAGAGTCCGACTCTATGACAAACCCTAATTTGTATCGACAGTAAGCGCCAGATGAAAGCGGGTGAAGCTGATCGTAACCCTGTGCGACTGGATTGTGCCACTAGCGAAGCGGTTGTTCAATGTACTTGAATTGCGGGTCTGCTCGGACCTACAAAGCTCCGGTGAAAACGCCGCATGTGCCGCAATTCGCGCTGGCGATTATCCCCTACATGTTGTCTGCTGCTGCTAGCAGCACTGATGCTGCTGGTGCTGGGCATGCTGCCATTGCTGCTCGCGACAAGAACAGGTGCTTCATGGATTACGCTTTGCTCATTCACTTCAATCAGCGTGCTACACTGCATACGCGCATGCTTCTTGTATATTGTTTAAAAGAGATAACCTCAACTGCGCAACAATCAACCGGTATGTGGCGAGGTGGAATCAGGCTCAATCATTCTCACGTTTGTGTTTCATAGGACATTTGAATTAAAGCCGGGGTACACATTCAATGCGGCTCGGGATGGAATTGTGGCAGGGCCTCAGATATTATTATATTTTATCATGAATTCCTGATTTTCAGAATAAGTATTGTCAAACATGTGTATGTGTCATGTTTGTATAGACTGTATAGGGTCACCTCTTAGAGGGTACAACACTTAGGTATATCTGTGTGTACTCTCACTCTATCATCAATTCACTACTCTAATTCTGATATGGTATCACGCGCAGGCTAGGATCCCCCCCTCCCCACCTACCGCTTCCGCTCGCCCCCCCCTAGCCCCGTCGTGCCCCTAGCCCCGTCGCGACCCCCCCTAGCCCCGTCGCGCCCTTCCTGGGCCCCGTCGCGCCCCTCCTGGGCCCCGTAGCGCCCCTCCTGGGCCCCGTCGCGCCCTTTCCTGGGCCCCGTCGCGCCCCTCCTGGGCCCCGTAGCGCCCCTCCTGGGCTCCGTAGCGTCCCTCTTGGGCCCCGTCGCGCCCCTCCTGGGCCCCGTAGCGCCCCTCCTGGGCCTCGTAGCGCCCCTCCTGGGTTCCGTCGCGCCCCTCCTGGGCCCCGTAGTGCCCCTCCTGGGCCCCGTCGCGCCCCTCCTGGGCCCCTCCTGGGCCCTGTAGTGCCCCTCCTGGGCCCTGTACCGTCCTTCCTGGGCCCCGTAACGCCCCTCCTGGGCCCCGTAGCGCCCCTCCTGGGCCGCGTCGAGCCCCCTCCTGGGCCCCGTCTCGCACTAGCCCGGCCCCGTCGCGCCCGCCCGGCCCCGTCGCACCCGTCCGGCCCCGTCGCCCCCTGCCCGGCCCCGTCGCAGCCGCCCGGCCCCGTCGCACCCGTCCGGCCCCGTCGCCCCCTGCCCGGCCCCGTCGCACCCGTCCGGCCCCGTCGCCCCCTGCCCGGCCCCGTCGCGCCCGCCCAGCCCCGGCGTGCCCCTCTTGGGCCACCGTCCCGCTCGCCCAGCCCCGTCGCACCGCCCGGCCCCGTCGCACCAGCTCGGCCCCGACCCACCCGCCCGGCCCCGTTGCACCAGCCTGGCCCCGACGCACCCGCCCGTCCCCGTCGCACCAGCCCGGCCCGGTCGCGCCCGCCCGGCCCCGTCGCACCCGCCTGGCCCCGTTGCACCGGCCCGGCCCCTGCGCTCGTCCCTGCCCCGGCCCCGGTCCTCCTCACTGGTACGGTCTCCCCCCCCCGCACTGCACCGCCCCGCACCACACTGTACTGCCTGGCACCGCGCTGCTACGCACTGCACCGCACTCCACCCGCTACACCACAGTCTTTCCCCTGGAGCGCAAGGCCGACGTGCCTGGCGCTCTCATCCCCTGGCTTGTCTCTGCGCGTGTCCACCGCGGTCTCCCTGTCTTGCGTCTTCACTCAGACCGTGGTGGCGAGTTTGCCTCAGGTGTCCTTGGTCGCTTTTGTCGTGCGGAGGGCATCACCCAGACGTTCACCCTGCCGGACTCCCCACAGCAGAATGGGGTCGCTGAGCGACGCATCGGTTTGATCATGGAGGTGGCTCGCACCTCCATGATCCATGCCGGTGCACCCCATTTTCTGTGGCCGTTCGCTGTGCGCTACGCTTCTCACCAGCTTAACTTGTGGCCGCACCCTCAGCAGCCGCAGGTTTCGCCGACCCGTCTTTGGACTGGGTCTCCTGGTGACGCGTCTGCGTTCCACGTCTGGGGCTGCCTTGCTCACGTCCGTGCCTCCGGCACGGACAAGCTCACTGCCCGCACCCTTCCCTGCGTCTTCCTCGGTTTTCCCCTTGACGCGTCCGACTGGCACTTTTACCACCCGCCGTCTCATCGCTTCTTTCACTCTCGCGACGTCACCTTTGACGAGTCCGTCTCCTACTACCGTCGCTTCCCCCACCGCGGTCCCCCGGTTACCCCCCCCTTGTTCCTGGTCCCTCCTTCCCCGGTAGTCCCTACCCCTCCTCCTCCTCCTCCCCGTCCCGCCCCCTCTGGTGTGTCCCACGTCACCCCCCTTCCGTCGGTGGACCCGGTTGAGGAGTCCTCTGACTCTGGTGGCCCTCCTGTGCAGTCCTCGCCGGCCGACCCTCCCCCGGCGTCCCCTCCCCCGTCGCCTCCTCCACCGCCTCTGCCGCCGCTGCAGCCGTCGTTGTCGCCGCCGCCGCCGCCGTCGCAGCACCCGTTCGCTGACTCTGGGGGTGCTCGTCCCGGTCGCTCTGGGGGTGGTCCCTCTGGGCGTGCTGGTGTGGAGTGTGCCGGTGGTAGCCGAGGAGCAGCTTGCGGTCCAGGTGTCGCCGTTGTGCCGCCGCAACAGCAGTCCCCGCCGGTGTCAGCCCTTCGCCTGCTCGGCCTTCCATCCCCCGACCCTGCGTCTGTTCCTCCCCGACCGTCTCCTCCTCTTCCCGTCTACGGCCCTGTTTTCCCTCCGCCGGACTCGTCCCCGGCCCGTCTTCCCCCTCGTTCCCCTCCTGTGTCCCCTCCCCTGTCTCCTGACCCGACTCCTCCGTCGCACGTCTAGTCTCACCTTCCCTCCCGTGCTCGTCCTGCCTCGCCTGTCTTGCGCTCCCACCCTATGTTGCTTCGTTCCCACGCGTCTCGTCCTCCCCTTCTGCCGTCGCCTCCTCCGTCCTCCCTTGTTGTTGCACCCCCCCCCGCTCTCTGACTACCTTCGTGCCGCTCGTCCTCTTGTTCCTCGAGTCCTTGCCTCTCTCGTTACCGACCTGTCTGTTCCGGTCTCGTCCCTTGACGCTCTTGTCGCTGCGGTCGCTGACTTCGCCTCTACCCGCCGCCTTGACTACGCCTCAGCTCTGGTCTCTGACCCTGCCTGTCCTCCGTCTGTCGGGGGTGCTCCTGCCCTTGGCAGTGACGTCCTGGAGGACCGCCAGTTCGAGCTTGCTTTCCTGTCCGAGGCTGCTCCCCATCTCTGTTCCATGCTGCTAGTCCCTGAGGGTGACCCAGACGCTTTCGACATCCCGACCCCTCGCACTTACGCTGAGGCGACCTCGGGACCCTGGGCCTCGCAGTGGATAGCTGCCATGGAGCAGGAGATGGCATCTTGGAGATCCACCGGCACCTTCGTCGACGCAGTTCCTCCACCTGGGGTGAACGTAGTCGATGGCCACTGGCTCTTCAAGGTGAAGCGCCCTCCTGGAGAGCCGCCTGTGTTCAAGGCGCGCTACGTGGCTAGAGGCTTCAGTCAGCGCGAGGGGGTGGACTTCTTCCAGACCTTCGCTCCGACCCCGAAGATGACTACTCTTCGGGTTCTGTTACACCTAGCTGCTCAGCGTGACTACGAGCTTCACTCCCTCGACTTCTCCACTGCCTTCCTTCAGGGCAGCCTACACGAGCAGGTCTACTTGCGTCGCCCTCAGGGCTTTACTGGCACCTTCCCTCCTGGGACCCAGTGGCTCCTGCGGCACCCCGTCTACGGCCTGCGCCAGGCTCCCCGTGAGTGGCACGACACGCTGCGTGCTACCCTTGCTGACTTGCAGTTCTTTCCGTGTTCCGCAAACCCCTCACTCTTCGTTCGTGCTGGCCAGACTCCGTTCTACATCCTTGTTTACGTCGACGACCTGGTCTTTGCCACAGCAGACAGGGACGCACTGGCCTCCGTGAAGGCAGAGCTGCTGAAGAGACACACGTGCACTGACCTTGGAGAACTGCGCCGCTACCTTGGTTTGCAGATCTCCAGGGACAGAGCATCGCGCACCATCACTCTGACTCAGTCACACTTGGTGGGCCAGGTCCTTCAGAGGTTCAGCCTTCAGTTCTCCTCTGCACAGCCCACCCCTCTGCCTGTAGACCACAGACTCTCCGCTCCAGTGTCTGAGGAGTTGGTAGAGCCCAGCGGCCCCTACGCAGAGCTGGTGGGTTGCCTCATGTACCTGATGACTTGCACTCGCCCAGATCTCGCATACCCTCTCAGCATCCTGGCTCGCTTCGTGGCCACAGGCAGACACCGACTGCAGCACTGGTCTGCCGCTAAGAGGGTTCTGCGTTATCTTGCTAGTACATCGGGCATGGGGTTAGTGCTAGGAGGACGCAGGCCAGTGGTCCTTACTGGACACACAGACGCTTCGTGGGCAGACGACGCTGAGACCCTCAGGTCTACCCAGGGCTACTGCTTCAGCCTTGGCTCAGGTGCCGTCTCGTGGAGAGCTACCCGCTCCTCGTCTGTTGCACAGTCCAGCTGTGAGGCTGAGATCTACGCTGGTGCCATGGCGGCACAGGAGCTCCGCTGGCTGACCTTCTTGCTCACTGACTTAGGTGAGAGGCCTAGCTCTGCTCCGGTCCTGTTCGCTGACAACAGGGCCATGATCCTCCTGTGTCAGGAGCCTCGACTCGAGGGCAGAGCGAAGCACATTCAGCTGCGGTACTTCCTCCTGCGTGAGCTACAGCAGCGACGTCAGGCTCGCGTAGTACACTTGGCCTCAGGTGCCAACACGGCTGATATCTTTACAAAGGCGCTTGCGCCTAAAGATCATCAGCGGCACTGTGTACAGCTTGGTCTAGTTCCTGTAGCCTCTCACTTGCTAGGACCTTGACTTTGTACTGTCCTTTATATGTATACTCAGACTGGACTTGTGTCCTCTCCCAGTGGCTGGACTAGTAGTGCCGCTCTGCTCTTGTTCTTGCCTTGTCTGTACCCCTTCTGACTGGTCTCTCAGACCCTTGTCTCAGAGGTTGGACTAGTAGTGCCGCCCTGAGCTGCTTGTTTAGGACATTCCCCTATGCAGTCTAGGGGGTGTGCCAAACATGTGTATGTGTCATGTTTGTATAGAC